CGAGAAACCTTTTTTAATTCGGAGCCACTGTGGAAAACTCGTTGGATAGACACCAGATCCGTGATGCTCTAGGCCCAGTGCTTGGAAGAAGTAGCCTATTATTTCATTTAGAATATATCATGTTGTTCGTTCCTCTTGGTCTTTTTAGACGAAGCGAAATTGCAAACAGATAAAAAGTACCCAATTATTTTTGGCTGTCGCGAGTTGAAGTGGATTTCTTTTTTCGACTAAAAGACGCTTCCGCCAAGTACCGGTGAGCGTTTGGACCACTGGGCACCTTGGCTTTTTTCAATACGTGTAATAACTTCTCTGTATAATATCCATCAAAATTTCTCGTGCGAACTGTCCGTAGCTAGTTTACGCAATGGACAAGTACCTTTGTGCCTACCAGAACCTGGGTAAAATTGCACGTTCTGCGGGTCGGTTTCTGATATTTGTTCGAATGAGGCGATTAGAACGCGGCTCCTCTGTATCGTTGCTGTCCGCACACTGCAACGCCAGTATATGACGATTTAAAACTCGACGAGTCTTGCACCTTGGGTGACAATATAATAGTGTTTCCTTATGTAGCTGATACACGTTGTGAGGAGTACCATGCCATGTTGTTCTGATTGTCAAGGAGCAGACAATGTGCACCTACAGTGACGCTTTTGTTTCCTAATAGAGCCGCTTCAAAGCCATAATGGTTGCCCGCTTGGGCTCACGTAACTCCTCATGCTAAAATTTGGACTGCTTCTTATCGGTATCCGCACAAAGTGACGCTTGTGAGTTTCGGCTCGGAGTTGAAGACCACCATATTACGTCTAGGTCACGGTGCGTTTTCACAGTTGCGAAAGACGTCTTGAGCGGAGGACAAGGCTGCTGCAGACATGGAATCGGTTCTGTGTTCGTGCTTCCACAAGATAGTGAAGTACCTAAACACACATCCTCTTAACCATCTTCAACTTTTCGGGCATAACTCGGGCAACGGTTGCTTTAGGCGTGACATAGGCGTGACAGTCTCGTGGGGATGCTCGACAATGCTCGCCAGCCTCTGTGATCAGACATTCAGCGCTTGGCTTCATCCACCCACTTTTCTTGCGTGGAATGAACATCATAGCCTCGGCCCAACTTTTTTTCCTGCTCGTCTTTCTTTGGACTTCTGGACCAAATTTTCCGCATTCCATTTGATGAGCTCCGGCCTAGGATGAATTTGAGCAGCGCACTCCCCTCTTATGACGCCCGATTCCATAATCCTTCGCTGATTTTGACCACTCGGCTTTCTTTTCAATTGCTCAGATTTTCTCCTGCGGTTAAGCTAGTCGAACTTCACGTATACGTAGCTAGAGGTACCATCTTTCAAAGATAGAAGCCCAAAGCCATATGCTACTTGTTTCCTGCCATTTCTGTATATGTCACGTTTTTGAATGAAGACCTAATATTTCCGGTGCTTGCCGAGTATGAACGGCTAACTAGCTCCCTAGCCAGGTGATCTTAATCGGTGTGTATCTATTCGTATTACGCCGATTAAGGGAACTCATGTTCATCTTTGAAGGAACAAGCAATAGGGGGCGCGCAAAAGGGCGGTGGGATGAGATCGAGGTCAGACGTGGGACGACACCGGCTTTCGCTTGTTCACACTCAAGCAATGCGCATCTCTGCACTAACACTACTTCTCATTATTGGTCCTGCTCTTGCCGAAAGGTAACCTCTTTCTACTAATTTATTGGGTTTTATTCAAAAACTCTTCGTCCGGATTTGTGGGAAGAAGTTTTTGATAGTCTCTGTTTATACAAGGGCTCGCTCAATTGCACAGAGATGATGACTGGTACTTTGGACATTGAATTCAGCTGATGATGCTGGGGTTTGAAATGCTGTTTGAGCGAGATCAACTTCACCTCTGATTTTTTTCAACTGTTACAGAAGAAAGTGTTTAAATCGAAAGGAAGAGTGTCACAGTCATTTTGCGATAATTGTGCAGAAACCGGTCCACTGTAGCGATCACCAAAATGTCGAACGGATGTCCGTCCGCAGTCCCATGATGATTGTTTATTCATGGGGGATTGTATGCAGTCGTTCCGGTGAGGGGCCGTTTACTCATTGTAAATTGCCTTTTGCCTTTCTTTCGGATCAACAAAGTCGTTCGGCACAGTAGCCGTGCGCAGCGATTTTTTTGAAAAGGAATGATGAACCGTGCGACGTCGCTGTTGTTTCAAAGGTGAACTGACCCACTTTCAAGGTTAAAACCAAGATGGATGTTTCATCAACATCATCAATCATCAGGTGTGGGTCGCTCGTTCGATGCTACAACGAGTGCAGCGAAAAAGGTGTTCCAAGAGTGCTTACGCGGTCAGCATTCGCACCACAGGGCCTAGTCGATTCGACGTGTCGACCAATCTGGAGCATTCAGAAAGTTTAATGTTCCTAAGATGCTCCTCTACAGGCACGGGTAAGCACCCCCCCCCCCCCCGCCGCACTCATGGTCACGAGAATGCAAAGCCAGCAAAACCATTCCTCGCCCTCGCCGAGCTCAAGAAACCATACATTAATCGTTACGGATGCCAGCACTGTCTTCCGATCACGTTGATCCACTTGGCTCAGAGTTCCTAGAGAGTGTCGTTATCACGCTAGACGGAACCAGCCTCTCCAGTTTTTCAGACAGCGTCGCTGAGGTTTGGCTGCATTCATACTTCTTCAGAGCGTCCACCATCATTCCGAGCGTCCGTCAGCAACGCCGACTAGGAAAGCATAGATATCAGTCTAGCGTCTCCAGCGTCTATCAGCGACCAGTACCGTCAGGGGTACAGGCAAGTGTGTAGCAACAGAGAGGCGTAGCAGAATAACAGAAGACACATCTCGTTGATATTCCGCAACAGGGAGGGGTCGTAGTTGTCCTCTGAGAGAAATTGTCGGCGTAGGGAAGCATCTTCCCCGAATGTGGACTTTTCCCGGTTTTATGGTTGCTTTACGTAGGCTATACACCAACCTCTCTCCCGTTCGGAAACTGCTAGTAGAGAGAATGGCGCCACGGGGAGGTAGCAAACAGCTGGTACGCGATTTTCGCTCCATACTCTCTACTAGCACTCTGCTGCTGGTTTCTGGTGGACGCTGTCGCAAAGTATGAAAGCAGCCTTCATGATTTAATCTCATTACTGGACTCTAAGAGTTAACTAAGTCGTTCAGCACCCTGGTATCGCGGGCAGGTAAGTTCAACGGATGCTGAAGGTACGTGCGTTCAGACTACTACCCGATGTACATGCAACAAGTGTCAACTTACCCTGTCACTCTGTGCGAGAAATAATTCCAGGGTGCTCACCATAAAGGGGACTACTTTCTGTCGCCTTCGAGCTGTACTGCTTCTGCAGCCTGTTGAACAATTATTCAAAACCCATTCAGACTCATCCAAGAGTACTGAACTTCTCACCTATTAAAGACCGAACTAGCACTGAGATCTCTTCAGAAGCATATAAGTGGTATGTTATAGTAGTATCCAATTGGTATTACTATCTAAATGACTTCCATCCTACACCTACCGCAATTGTTTAAAGGCAGTTGGCACGATAAATCGCTATACAGGTGTAGGATTTGTACAACTGGCTTAACAGAATTCCGTGACCTCGGACAGGCGCTGCGTGAAGCCTTTTCCAAGGAGGGCACCCCTATATAACGCCCTATCGAGCAACAACTTTACGTCCCAAACGCCTTCCTTGCCCGCCCGCCCACAAACGGACGACCGTTTCTGACGCTCGTATTCATTAATTTGCTGAGCAAATTATGAAAGCGAAGCGACTTGGTAGAAGCGGCCGTGATTTGCGCCACGCATACATACATACAGGGTACACATATGCAGCCGTATCTTCGGTAGCGGTGATTGGCAAGATGCGTACGGGAAACTCGTCCGAAATCGATTTACAAGTCACTGAGAACGAGGCTTTTCTCTTCGCCGGATTTTGACCGTTTCACTCCGTTCTTTCGCCATTTCCCCACTATACAGCGCCCTACTAGCATTTTAGGCTAAGTAGGAAACCATCGTGCCAACTGCCTTTAAGTAGTAGAGTGACAGTCGTTCAGTATTCCTGGGACGACATGAGTGGAAAAAAGACTTTTGCCTTCTCATGCCCGACTACGGTATAGCGTAAGAAAAACAAGAAACAGGGGTTCCTCGCTGGTAAACGAGCACAGTAGGAGAGCTTCCACTAAAGCTAATGCATCTCACTCGGAGTGAACCTGCATTTATTCTGTGAACGC